GATTACGTATACATCTCAGGTATAGAGGCGTACTATAAACAATCCTTTACGAGAGTTGGATTGTCTCATTCTAAGAAATGTATCATAAAGTGGTAGTCAGTGGGTGTGGCTCCGCACAGGTGTACGAGGCGAATTGTGTGGTTACAACTAAAGAATACTGCAACGGAGAATGAAATTCACATACACTTATAGCTATATTAGGACTTTGAATAAAGTTCTCGACTGAAATATTTATTGATAAATACTACGATATAGATGAATGAAATTCACTAACGACCGGTTTCCAAGTGACGTATAACCTTTAGTATTTTTTGGTCGATAACTTCATGAAATACGTTTCCGAACTACGTAGCTTTTACTCCTTTGAAACTTAGTTTAATCAAACACTAATGGATTGATAGGTAATCTAATCTAATTAATATTATAAATGCAAAAGTTTAAATGGATGGATGTTTGTTAGAGTTTGTAGCCTAAACGGCTGAACGGATCTGGACGAAATTTGACAAAGATGTAGAGCAGAGTATGAAAGAACACATAGGCTACTCACTTGGACGCGGCCGAAAGCTAGTTATAAAATAAATGGAAACAAGAAACCCAGCATAAGATACATAACTGAAAATATCAAACCATATCGTTACACTTTCTTTGTTCTCACGCCTGAATAAACGCAAACTTCACTCGAAATGCAATCCGAAACAAAGTATTTTATGAGGTTTTTTGTACGTAACAAAATATGTAGGGGAACACTCGCAAATCGTTTTTAGCGACTCCCCCCTCCCCTCGCCCCCTACTCCTGTTTACCTCACTCGGATTACTCGTCTCAGTTGCGACGTAACTCTGCACATGACAAATAAAACTAGTTTAGAATCTACTCCGTATCAATTTAGTAGCAACATTTTGTTTGCGCTTCACTTTTAAAGGAGATTTTTAAAAGCGCTTTCTAGTTGTTTTTTGTGTTACGAAACTTTAAAGTGATGTTCATTTGAAATGTGAATGGTTTTATGCAGAGTTTCTGAAGTTTCCTTTTATTTTATCGTTACCGTTAGGTTGATCTAAGTTGCATTGGAGTTACACTCAAGTTATCGAACCAAAAACAATACTGGTTAAATGTAGTTAGGAAATCGGCCATTAGATGTCAATGTTAACTATTCTGACCGAAGTATAATTAAAAATGAACGCATCGATTTAATGAAATATTATGTCATGATTTTTATGATACTGTAGACTACGTGATACTTATTTTAATATACATTGTGACATCATCTATCTTATAAATATAATATTTTTATTATGTGTACACGCGTTCCTAAACGATTTGAATAATGAAGAGGTTAGAAAGCCTTTTTTCTATTACAAAATTGATCATTATCAAATTGTGCTTGTCCTTACACAGGGTCGGCATAGTAAGTGCTTTTCCATACATTCCTATCAGCAGTCTTATCTGATTCACTCCCTTAAGCATATCCTCTTTCACACAATCCATCCATACGTTCTTCTGTCTTCCTCTACCTTTGTAGCCATCCATTCAATCTTAACACTTCCTTTTACATAATTGATCAAAATTAAGTACAAATAAATCTTGCTAATATTATAAATGCGACGTTAAGATGGAAGGATAGATGGATGTTTGTTAGAGTTTGTAGCCTAAACTGCTAAACGAATCTCGATGAAATTTCTGAAATAACACTTAAGCTATTTACTAGGTTTTTCTTATTTCATACGGATGAAGTTGCAGGCGAAAGCTAGTAAATAATACATACCTAAGCTTTAGATAGTTATAATATTGAATCTGTATGAAACGTTCTTATTTATTCATTTGCTATTTGCTATATAAAATGAGAGAAAATACAGAAACAAAACACAAACTTTCGCCAGTCTTCTATCTTTTCCGTGGAACTAATTTCGATGAAACCTCCAATGTACCTTTTCCTTGAGTTCTACGAAACGTATAAGGCCACCTTTTATTTCCTGAAATGAATAGTTTCCACTAAAACGTCGGCGAATAGAAAAAAGATTGCTTTTTCAAAGTAAACATGGGTTGGATATAAATTAAGTTACCATTTTTGTAATAACAAAGGTTATTAATAAATTAGCTAATAAACAGTGACTCTCTAATAAGGGAAAATACAAACAGCAAACTAGAAATCCCTTAAAACTAAAGATAAGATATGCAATTGCTATTACTTTTCTAAGAGCGATTAAAAACGTAAAGTTTATGAACAAATATTGATTTATTATAGAATGATCTACATTCAAACTCAAACAACGAAAGATGAACGTATGTATACTAACATAATAAAGCGTAAACACACTACTTCATTGCGTAGGATGTCAACAATCACTGCATATTTTTGAATTATTCTTTCTTTAATAAAAAGCCCTACACTGCGAACGGTTTAGGCTATATATTTTCACGCTATTAAAGTAAGACGGTAAATGAATTGTTAAAAACCTTCACGTGGGAAAGATACCATAAACTACAAGCAGCCAACATTAAGGAAGCAAGGTTATTATGGTAACGGTAATTTTGACATATTCAATTGAGAATTTGACAAATGTAAACAATAAAATAAAGTTTTTTTTATAATTTCGTGCGGATGAAGACGCACGGGAACACCTAGTCTTTAAATAAGTACATTTTATTCTGAGCTGAGCTCTAGTATTTTACAGTAATCTCTCTTCATAGTAAACTTGAACGTTTTATAAGACCCGGTATTTCTACTGAATGGTTCTGTAAAAATTGATGAGTTAGTAAAACCGATGATCGATGGGGAAATAAACTTCTATGATATGTAACAAAAATACTTAATTAACTTAACTTTTTAGAGAATATCGAAAAAGAAAATTAACAAGACAACTATGAGCTATTAACGTAAATAATAAAAAAAACATACAGACAGTAAATAAAACTAACAACTAACCAGATCAATGACCATGTTTCTGTTTGATTAGAAAAAAGTAACAAATCGATTAGGTTTAACGCAATTTAGCATGAAGTTTTTTCAGTACAAAAAACTATTACTGAACTTTACAGCTGTACACAATACATTCTTGTTTCCTTGACCTTCAATACCGAGAGCAATAACCTTAAGAGACACTTTAATTTGCCCGCGCTAATTGCCCGCCCCTTGCCCGACCGTGTCCGCAATATCCGCCCGACGCCTGATAACCTGCACTTGACATTCGGAGCCCATCGCCGCATAGAGATTGCGAATTAACGCCTAACTGCCTTTTAACAGGCTTTGTGTTAATTGTTGGAAATCAAACGATTGTCAATTATTGACTTTACACAACAAACATTAAGTAAAAAAAGTTCCTTAGATTTGTAAATTTTCTATTGAACTTGTAAGGATTTTAAAATTCTCTACAAATATAGAAGAAATAACTATCTCTGATTTTCTGTCACTGTTGTTACCTTCTATTATGAAATACAAATTAAGGTCACGGAAAATACGTGTTTTGCATTGTTTATTGTCAATTACTTTAAACATTGTTTAATTTTAGAGAAATATGAACATATTGCAAGAAAAAGGTTTTAAGAGGATTCGTTATTGTGCATGTTTTATAAAATAACTGGCTCGAGCCATTTAAATGTTTAAAATTTCCCGCCAAATTGCGCCTCGACATTTATGTTCATACATACAATGAGCCCAGATGTTACAATAAACGAAGGATGCTTGTCCTCTTGGAACATTTTAAACGTATAAAAAAATTGTTAGCAACTATTGTTGTTGAATTAGCGACAGTTTGATGAACTGCACGGAAAATATGGCGAACCCCTGGTATAGTGTTGCTAGAGAAATTGTTGTAAATGATAACTTAAAAACATAATATTTTAAAGTTGCGACAAAACCTAAAATGATATAAAAAAATGAAAATGTTTGTGTGCATTCGTTTCACCTTTTTGTTTATAATCCACTCGGGAAATTATTATAATAAATTTAAATAAAATGGCAACGGGAAACCGCGGCGAACTTAACGGCATAGTCCGAGAGCGTCGGCAAGTCAGGAAGGAAAGGTTTTCAAAGTTTGTACGAAAAAACCCCGAAAATGTAAGCCCAACATTCTGTTTCCGCCGGCCGAGGGTCCGCGGGGTAAATATTATTCGGGCTCCGTCTTTTATTTCCTTTGTTTTACACTTTATTATTTGTGGTCAGAGCCCACCTTAGCCGAGGCGTGACCGCCGACGTCCGAATTAAAAGAACCAGCCTCCGGAACGAGCCGCTCCGGACACGGGGACGGGAAATACGTACTCTGCAATAACTCCCGACTAGATATTAAACTTCCACTCTTAAATACAAAGAAACAAAGACTTTAATGTATCAGATGCGGGCTTTACGCAGTTCTAATTGACGAAATTCGACAAACACAAAAAGTTTCTGCACGCTTCGTGGAGCGGAATTGTACGTAATTAGTAGGACCGATTCGGGTAGGGGAAGTTGCTATCCGTTTCGCCGGCGTCGTAAAGACGGAATTTTATTCGAGGGAATGCTCTGCCCCGGGGCTTTTATGAAAACTGTCCCCTTCTTTGGCGCGGATTCTGTAATTTGTGCTCCTCGAGTGATTCGTGAGGACAGTCCGCCAGATGGCGTTATATTGGACATTCGAATTTTATGCGTCAACCCTCGCCGGCAACGTTTCATTCTGACGGATCGTAAAACGAAGAATTCGTCAACGAGGGAATATAGGCTACGTGCAGGTCTGGCAGGCCGCAGAGAACGACGGGAATGAATTCCAGATGAGCCTTTATTTATATTGCGACGGCCTCTTGTGACCTTTGCCGGAGAGATGTCAGCCGAGCCTACTGTTTTGTTTTGTTTTTAGTACGTCTTAAAATTTACTACAGTTAAATTACTTGCAAAAGACGAAAAGATTTATGTCTTTGACTAGAATATGTAAACAAGCGATACTGTTTGAATTAACTCAAAGAATACAAAATCAACATATTCAAATATGACAAGAATAAATAATTTTAAAGATAATGTTTCTCTTAAACTTACCATTGCTGTTTTGAAAATATTTTTATTCGAATGTAGTTTGCAGGCATCAACGTTCTGAAACAATAAAAGTTATTTTATTAGAGAAGATATAACAGTCCTAAACACTATGTCTTGTAGAGATTTGGTACCCTAGAAATAAGCCTTTAGTAGCTAGGTTTCATAACCTGTTTGAGAGCAGATAGAAACAGAAAAAAATGCTGCCAACGTCGAAGTAGTTCACTGTAAAAGAACTAAAGGTACTCTTGTTCTTAGTAAATAAATTGCGCCTTCTTCATACCTATTATAAGATGTCGAGATAAGCATCAAACTATATCAGAAGAAACTTATTCAAAGGAAAGTATTTTATTAGGTCAACCCTTTCTTCCCAATCAAGGCTGAAATTTGTCAATAGGGGGGTTTGGGTGAAGGGGGAGGGGGTGGAATCGGGTCGCTTTGTCAGAGCAATTGCCTGCGACGCCGGCACCTGAGCCTTTGTACAAATGTTGCGAACACATGCCCGTAATATATTAACCCGCCTTTAGACGCGAACGAGCCGCGCTCGGGGATAGCGAAAGAAATAATGCCCTAAAAGTATGTTATGCTCAACGTGAAGATATAATAACATTGCACGAAACACGTTATCCAGAAAACAGTTACTCTATATTTGAACTTTCGCCCGCCATTTTTCCGCGTGGAATTAAAAAAAAAGTAAGTAGCCTATGTGATCTTTCAGACTAACCTCTACTTCTAAGCCAAATTTGATTAAGATCGCTTGAGATTTAGATTGATTTCTCTCTTTTTTAGTTTTTAGGCTAAAGTTATTTTGTGTTTGATTTGATGTTCTTTATCTTGTTTGTGTATGTCATATTCACAAATTGTTAATTTTGTTTTAGGTGTAAAGAACTGTAATGCTTTGAACTATTATGTTCCTTCTGCCTATTAGTTATTTAAAAACATACAAAAAGGTTATATTCTGGACCGTGTACCGCAATAAATAAATACGGTCCGTCCACGAGTGCTGGCGGACGCCATAATTCATGGTCTCCCGCGTCGGACGCAGTCGTGTTTTGTACGTTTTGCGACTTCGTGTGGACACCCCAGTGTGTTCCGTCCGCGGTTTTAGAGGATTTTAATATTTCAATTCTATTTGCACCAAAACTGTGCGATTTGGGATATTATGTTTTCTTGTCAGTTTCTTGTTTAAATATGGTACGTTTTGTAATAGTTCCGGTGATTACGCTTTGTGAAAGAAACTCAAGCAAAATATTGTAATGTTGGATTCCCATATTGGTAAAGTCTGTTATGTGAAAATAAGGTGCAATCTATACTAATATAAAGATCAAAAGATGTACATATATTATTGTATATATCGAAATAAATCAAAAACTCGCCGATTTAAAAAAAATCTTTTACGTTATTAGTATTTAACATACGCTATGTTTTATTGTTTTTTCAATTTCACACTTGCGAAGTTGCGACCAAAAGCTAGTATTTTATAAAAACAATGTTTAAATACAAAGTATACCATCAAAGAGAAAATGGTCTACAATTTGAGTACTTCAATCTACATACGAAAAGTACCGCTGAAGCCTTCTATAAGCTAGTTGAGTAAAGTCGACGTTGAGTAAATTATTTGAGCATTCTGCTCAGGTATTAGCAACTGACAGCGCTTGTTAGATACTATTAGCGCAACACGGGGTATTTGCATTACAAAGGCCCCGGACAGGTTCACTTGAGTGTTGGTTTTCACAGTATCGCGTATTAACTCGTATGTAAGTAAATGAGACGGGAATGTGAAGGCTTTGTTGAACTTCGTCTTGTAGGAATACAGGATTACTTATTTAAATTATAATAAATATGTGAAGGTTTTATGAACAGATATACTTGATTTTCTTCTTACATAATAAATAGTATTAAAATTATTAAAATTTGCACATTTAGAGTGACATAAATATATATATAAGACACAAAATAAACGGTTTAGTAAACGGCCGTATACTGAAACGATATTAAAATCTCTAACATCATAAATGATTAGGCCACGCATGTACTCCGATTACCATTAAAATCGTAATCGTATCGTAAAGTTAAACGAAAACAAATAAACATCAAACTTTTTGTATGACACAAATGTGATGTCAAAATGTCACGTCTATAAAGTTGAGGTTACAATGACGGTCAAAATTATTTTTATTCAGCTGACGTATATTGTTACTCTATGAATTTCAAACAAATTGTCGCTTCGACATTTTACTTTGTCGAGAACTATTTCAATGGACAATTCAATGAAACAAATTAATCGAATATTTCTATTCAAGTACAGCTGGTAATGTTTTATCTATTTCATGACTTTTTTACATTTATTTCAAGGGAGAGATTACGGGGTAGATAACCTTCTCTTTGTCACGATTTCGACATGTGCGTCCTTTATCTTCTGTTCTGTAACTCCCTATTGAACATTTAAGAGAATTGCTGTTCCAATACTAATTTAAGATTAATTTTTCAATAATAACTAACCATTTAAATTATTTAAAATTTCGTGAGACATTATAACGCGACGCACGACGCGACCACGAAACAACCCCAGTAACACTCGCCCTGAATATGGACCGCGAAGGGCCCGAAACTAGTCGATGACAGCCACCGGAAAAATAGACGCGAGTAAGAGCCGTAAAATAAATAGTTATAATTACTAGCCAGAATTAAGATGCAGACTTCAGTCTCGCAAGCTGATAAAGAGATAAGTCAATGATTTTTTTATTCATATTTACAAACGTATTTATTAATGGCCAAATACTAAAAGACTATTTAAATATGTAAGAGTTTCTTATAATAAAGTTTCGCATAAATTCCATTTAAAAGTTTGAAGTCAGTCAGTTTGAGTGTCTACTATTCCGACCACTATTCCGATAATGCACTAACGCATGAAGGTAGAGGTCGTTATTTAATGTCAATCCAATAAGATGTTAGAGATATCTTCGTATTCATAGAGGTGGTCGCCGCGAGCTCTTACGTGATTGGTCCAGCCCTTTTCCCTTCCGCTTTATGCATCAAACGCCTCACGCACCCTCGTCAGCTGAGCATCTTGACCCTCTTTAAGCAAATGTCGATTTTAGATATAAATATATTGGGTATTAACATATCATTCGGATTTCCTTGTGGCTGATATTTTCCGTTAATGCTATCAAATAATTTACAAAACTGATTCCTAGCATAGAAAACTGGAGTTAGTGAAATAAATTAATCTAATAAAAATCTGTAATCACAAGTCTTTACTTAAAAGAATTAAAGTAGTTATTAGCAATTTTTTTTTAATAATTAAGGGTTAGTTTCCGTCTTGTAATTTCGACTTGACATTCAACGTTGTGTTGACGTAAATAACTAAAGCGTTGTTTCTAAAAATAAAAACGCTTCAGTTATTCATTCATTTTACTATTTCCTAACTAATTGCCTTTGACGTAGCGAAGTCTAATGTAACTTGGAACAGACCTTTAATGCTTTCATACTCGACTGATTTATATTCGTCTTGTCGCAGCTACAAATACATCTTCAGCCGAGTGAAAAATGATGCGACACAGAGACAATGCCGCTAAAATTGTTCCTTGTCGCAGGACTGGAGACCCTTATGAGAATAAACAGAAACTAAGAAACGGTAATGGTAATAGAAGTAATAAAAGCTGGAGTTTGTCTAACAGTAAGTAAGAAATATTATCAAACTAGTTTAGATGTAAACAAAACAATGCAATCGGAATAACTGTCTAATAATCTTATTCGAAAGATATTTCAAATTACTTTTAATACAGAGTTAATAAAATCTCTAAATAAAACAGAATAAAAAGACAAACTGGAAACGGAACACGGAACGACTACTTCAGACCGAGAACATATTTTAAACGGGAAACATTCCATCTTTCCGTTTCCGACCAACCTTGGGAAATTCTGTAAATTGCGGAGATATTCAGAAATAACGGCGCTAGAAGCGAGACAAAGGAGTGGGCTAAGCGAAGTAGGTAAGCCATAATCTATTAAGCAATAATAGGGGTATAGCGGGGAGGAACGCGGGGCGCAGCCTAGCTCGCGACTAATTGGCGGCGAACAAAGGAGCTCACACAAAGCTGGATGCGACCCGTCTAATGGAGTCGAAGACATCTTTATACGAAGCGGTTTATAGCATATCCGGGCCGTTCCTTAGTTCCTTGCTGGGATCATAGTAAAGAAGCGTTCGCTCGATCGACTTCCTACAACGATATCGCTGGTGTTAATATATATGACTCCAATATTTCACATTTATAAATCGTTGGACTGCTATCCAAAAATAAATTGGATAAAAATGTTAGAATAAAAATAACGACCGAAATTCAGACCGCCCACTCTCAAATTGTTGTTTAGTGAGAGAAATCAGGTTACCAATTACTAAGAATTTGAATATTTGTCGCGTGAGACGAAGATCGTTTTGCATTTTTATAACATTTCTTATTTTCTTAAATCAAAAATATGAAGAAATCCATATTACATTAGTTTCAAAGAATTAGATTATCCGCCATTTGCTTAACTTTGAAGAACCATAACTACGTTAATGACAGTGTATCTTCAATAAGTCCTATTTTTTATATTTCTAGTGTTTTCTAGGTTTAGTAAGTGTTATAATGTTTCGAATTAGTTAAATGAATGTTACTTTTGATATGTAAATAATACAAAAACACTAGCAGTATGAATCATTACAGGAAACGCTATGATCACAGAATAATCTAGTTAAGAAATAAATCATTGAATTGCTTTTAGCATATCATAGCAGACTTGAAGATTACGCCTTACGGTGTGCCGGTAGTGTAGAGCACTGGATTTGCAATCGAACTATAAATACACGATACTAATACAAGTGAGTCAGAAATATGGTCGAGTGTAGGTTTATCATCCGACTACGATTGTTTCTAAACTCTGAGGTTACATCTGATATGTTTTAAGTGTAGAAATAAAATATTACACGCTACAGTTTCACTAATCCAGAATATTAGTGCATTTCCATTTACCAAGAACCAGTACATCTTACTTGTTAAGGCCATTTGTCATTTAAC